AATCCCTAACATTCTGTGATTCTGTGATGCTAGTTTCCACATGAAGCTCCTGCTCTGGAATGGAATTTGCTTACTGCAGTTTTTTGTTTGGGTTTTTATTTTTTTCCTTCAAGGTTGAGGATAGATTCTGGATTAAAGTTCTTAATTTTTAACAACCATGAGAAATTAAAGTGTTAGGATTAATAGGGATGCTGCATGTTAAAAACTTGCCTGAGATTTTTGACAACTTGGGGGAAAGAAAGGGGTGGAATCAGGTGGTTTTTACCTGATGTCAGAAACTATAATTCCAGGTTGCAAGTATTTGCTTCCACTGAGTAGACATTAGACAACTATTTGTGATTCTGCTTTCCACTTAGTGGCTATGGGTAGTTATTTTGCTTGTATGGACTACATGTATTTAGTGTATGTATTTGAAACAGGTAATTATTGCTGCAGAACTTCTAAAAAACGCAGATGAGCTAGTGAAGCAGAAGATTCACCCTACCTCCATTATTGGTGGATACCAACTTGCTTGCAAGTAAGAACCTAATACATTTGAAGTTGCATTTTTTAAGGTACAATAATTACATGCTTTTTGTTTATTTCCATATTTGTGGCTGTTAACACAGACCTCTTGGTGCAAAGTGGATTTGCTGGTTTGGGGGTGTATTGGAGTTTTTTTGCTGGTTTGGGGGTGAAGGTTGGTGGTGTTTATTTTTAATTTCTGTATTCTCACAAAAAGGAGTCCTAAAAGATGAGTTTATTTCATCCCTGTGTTCTTTAAAGTAAAATTTAAAAGGCCTAAAAACATGTAAGATTTTTGTCTTTGTGCACGTAGAATTCTTTACGAGTATTTGTCTTTATTCTACAGGGAAGCAGTTCGCTACATCAATGAAAATCTTATTATTAACACAGATGAATTGGGCAGAGATTGCCTAATTAATGCTGCTAAAACATCAATGTCCTCTAAAATTATAGGAATGTATCCTTTAACTTCATGAAGGTATTTAAGTGAGAGTGATTGGTTGGAGAGCTTGAGTAGCTAAGCTCGTTTCCTTTGCAGCATTTCTTAATGGGGTACAGTGTTCAAGCTGTCGTTTTTATAACAGGGGTGTGAGTTTTGCAAATATTACTATCTGGCATAAGAAGACATGTTCGGACTCTTCCATTTTATTTAAATAGTAGCTTGAACAGTGTATTGTTTCTTTAGTTAGTGAAACTACGTAAGGAATTGTGTAAATGAAAGAATGTGTTACAGAAGTCAAGTATCTGGGGAGTGAAACTGGAGGAAAGAAGGTTTCATTTTACTTCATAGTTGTAGAAAACCCTGGATTTTTAGCCTTTGTGCTAGCAAGGGAATGCAGTGACCACAGGATAGGCTTTTTGTTATGGAACAAAAGGTGCATTTTTCTTTACTCATTCCTTTAAGGGAATGGTAAAGAAAAATAGCACTTCACTGCCTCTCTGGAGTCCTTTTTGGAAACAGCTTTTGTCACTTTAGTTTGGGCACTGTCAGACTTGTTTTTTTTCTTAAGCATAATGCTAGTTTTCTTCTCCAGTTTTAACCTTAACAGCATTGTAGCGATGGTGATTTCTTTGCTAATATGGTGGTGGATGCTGCACTGGCAGTTAAATATACAGACCAAAAGGGTCAGGCTCGATATCCAATCAACTCGGTTAATGTTTTGAAGGCACATGGCCGCAGCCAAAAAGAGAGCATACTTGTGAACGGTTACGCTCTGAACTGCGTGGTGGGCTCACAGGGTAAGAGCATGCTATGTGTCTTAATGGTTTTGTGTGAACTCAGTCCTCTCGGTCTTTCTGCATGGATCTTCACACTGACTGCATTAGTTGCAAATTGTGGGTTCTCAGCTCCAGAACAATTAAGCAAGAATGCAAAAAAGCCTTACCACTTCACCATGGTTTCTAGGCTAGGGTCTGCCAGCTAGTAGTGATCCACAAAGCATTGGTTAGGTTACTGTAGTTTCCGTAGCTCGGGATCAGCACTGTAATGCTGTGATCTTCTGGAACATAAGCACTTCCCTTGTGAGGGGCCAGTGTCTGGTTTGTAGGGAACCGTTATATTTAGCGGAGCTGTGTTGTGATGAGGTAACCTAAAAGATGTGAGACTGACAGCTGAGCTTTTTGTAGTCATTCTCATTTTGGGGATGGGACCAGTAAAAAGCTAACAGGTTATAGTAGAGATTTTTTTTAAAGAAATTTCTCTCTTTGAAAGTTTTTGTTAGCATTTTTGTGTACTAGGGTGGAACTGGAGACAGAGAAGCAAACTGAACAGAAATCTGAAAAGTGAAAGTAGCATTAGTTTTAATCTCTAATGCTAACTTGCTGTTCTGTTAACTTCATCTGACAAAAACGTTTTTCTTGTTTTCTCTTGTCAGGTATGACCAAGAGAATAGTTAATGCGAAGATTGCATGCCTTGACTTCAGCCTCCAGAAAGCAAAAATGAAGCTTGGTGTTCAGGTTGTTATCTCGGATCCTGAAAAGCTGGACCAGATAAGACAGAGGTGTGTGGAAACTTGAGTAACTACACCAGTGGGTTTTCACAGGGTTGCTATGTTGTCTTTGGTTGAGGTGGCTTGATGTGGTTTTGGATGAACACAAGGGGTAAAAATGATCTGAATATTAACACTTACCAGTGACACCAAATATTAATAGTAAAAGTCTTCACTTGTGGGGGCAGAACTAATATTAAGTACTTTTTGAGAAATCTAAGTATGTTTGTGCAATGTTTTTTTTGTCTTTGTAGAGCTTTGCATTAGGATTTCAGGAAGTGGCTTAATAGAATATGATTGCAGACTTTTAAGCTTTGTTTTTATAACTTTGACTTTATCCTTCCAGGGAATCAGATATTACCAAAGAAAGGATCCAGAAGATTTTGGCCACTGGTGCCAATGTTATTCTCACCACTGGAGGCATTGATGATATGTGTCTGAAGTACTTTGTTGATGCTGGTGCTATGGCAGTACGAAGAGTTGTAAAGAAGGACCTTAAGCGGATTGCTAAGGCATCTGGAGGTATCTGTCTTGTTTTGTTGTGCTTTTTTGTTTGTTTTCAAGTAAAACCTGTTGTTAGGGTATTAGTAACCAATATTCAAAATATGGCTTTTTAATGTGGAACTGCATTTTCATTATGGTAAATCACAGGAACTTGTAGTCGCTGTGGGAAAGTAAGTGCTGTCAAAGTTTAGTGAAGAGGGCAGTATTGATTATGAACTGCAGAATATTGAATTGCTACCAAAGAATTAGAAGTGCTGTTGAATTTAGGAAAAATCTACTTATGCTGCTTTTATTCCTGTTACCTTTCTATATGCCTGAGCTGGGAAGTTGGCAAAGGATGTGCTGAAATTGAATGTGTTTGTTTGTTTGTTGTTTGTTAAAGCAACCATATGTTCAACCCTTGCAAACCTTGAAGGTGAGGAGAGTTTTGAGGCATTAATGCTGGGACAGGCAGAAGAGGTGATTCAAGAGAGAATCTGTGATGATGAGCTGATTTTAATCAAGAAGTAAGGATCCTTTTTGAAATGCTTCATTTTGTGTACGCTTTATACTAAGTTTGCGATAAAATCCCATTTATTTACCTCCATGCTATCTGATGAGTAGTTACACACATGAGAAAGAGTATAGATGTCCATTGCAAATCAGGTGAAAGTATCAGTATGTAATCCCTTGTGCTGGGGCTAGACAATCGGATCGCTAGATAGACTTTACTTAAAATTTTGTTTATAAATATATTTTTCTGAAATTTTTAATCAAACTCTATTAAATTGCTAGAGACGTTACTACAGCATTCGTATGATGTTCCTTTAGCTGGTTTTTAGCAGTATAGTCACACTGGCTTCCCTTTACAGACAGTGAAGTGAAATAGGTACCATGTGAGCAATTTCAGCTGAGTAAAGAGATGCAAGCTACATGTTACCATTTATAGTGGAAGACAGGGTTTACTTGTGCTGGTTTCACTGAATCAGTTATCTGCTTGGTAGTATGAAATGGACCATATTAAAAGGGTATTTTTTACGTTTTTGTTTTTTGTGAGTAAGAACAGTTATGAACATACTAAAATACCACATACCTGGTATTTTTCCCTTTAGGTTTTTTGTATGCCACTGATGTCTGGTATCTGAAGACTTAAGTATCAGCTTGTTTAACAAGAATATACCTTGGATATTAACTTTTCCACTGCTTTAATGTCTCTTTTCAGTCTTCAGCTTCCCATAACCTAATTTGTCTGTGAATAAAATATTCTGATTGTGGCATTCATGTGGCAGTTAGGTGACTGCTTATATTGTAATAATGTTGGCAGTCACTATCTCACTTGATGGCTATACGAAAAAAAACTTAATACCTAATTATATTTTCCCCTTATTGATATTTTCTTATCTTGTCTGTCATACTTTTGTCAGGTAGCTTTCTCTAAAACTCGAACTCATTTTTTGCATATTAGAACTGAAATAGTGTGTTACTAAGTTACAATGTACCTATCCTGCAAGGGTGCATAACAATGTTAAGATTTTCTTTTAAACTAGAAAGAATCTGGCTCAACTAAACTTTGCTTTAGAACAAAAATTACTGCAAGAATAGTTTTTAATTTATATTCTTGTCAACACAGCTGACTTCTGCTTCTTTTTTTCCCCTAGTACAAAAGCTCGTACTTCAGCATCAATTATCTTACGAGGAGCCAATGACTTCATGTGCGATGAAATGGAACGATCTATACACGATGCTCTCTGTGTTGTTAAACGAGTGTTGGAATCCAAGTCTGTTGTCCCAGGTGGTGGTGCTGTAGAGGCAGCGCTTTCAATTTATCTTGAAAATTATGCAACCAGCATGGTAAGTCTCGCACAGAGAAGTAACGGTGTGCTTGTGTTACTATGACAACGTGAATTTTCAGGTATTAATTATTTTCTAATAGAAGTCTGTTCTATTGTTCATGAAAATCTAATAATCTTACAGAATTTAAGATGCTTCTTTAAAATGGAGGATATGAGTTATTTTTTCTCTGATAATTAGACTATATCGTTCTTTGGCTTAAAAAACAGGTTTTGCATGTGGAAACCCCTACCTCCTATTGACAATCTTGATAATGGCTGTATTTTTCCCACTTCTATTGCAGCAATTGGTTTAAAAACTTTCTTCTTTCTAGGGATCACGTGAACAACTTGCAATAGCAGCATTTGCAAGATCCCTCTTAATAATTCCAAATACACTGGCAGTCAATGCTGCTCAAGATGCAACAGATCTCGTCGCAAAATTGAGAGCATTCCACAATGAGGCTCAAGTTAACCCAGATCGAAAGAATCTGAAATGGCAAGTATCTCTATGTAGGAAGCCTATTGCAAGTTAAGTGGGTTGGTGATGTAGATAGACAAATGTTCTGCCTGTTTACTGAACCATGATTTGCAGGTTAAAAAGGGTGCAGGTAATCATTGACCTTTTCTCCCTCTGCCCTGCAGTCCTACATATGTGTGACTGCAACGTAGTAGTTAAATAGCATACTCCCAACTCCATTTTTACTTTTTCTACCTCTCTGACAATATTTCTTCTTTTCAGGATTGGTCTTGACTTGATCAATGGAAAACCTCGTGATAACAAGCAAGCTGGTGTCTTTGAACCAACCATGGTCAAAACTAAGAGCCTAAAGTTTGCAACAGAAGCTGCAATTACTATTCTTCGAATTGATGATCTTATTAAATTGCACCCGGAAACGAAAGAAGAGAGAGGGTGCTATGAGGATGCAGTTCACTCTGGAGCACTTGAAGAATAATTTAGGGTTTATTTATGTTTGTCTAACTCACATTTCCCACTCTTGAAACTAAAATGTTAATAAAACAAGTGGTTGAATGCTGCTGCTATTTTCATGTGAACAAATTAATTTCTGGAAGTGGGGTTGGTCCTTGCATTGAGAACTTAAGCTGTAGCTTAAGGTGTGTTAACACCTAGTGTCTACAGTTGCTCCTGTTGTCACTGTTTTGAGTGGCAAAAACTGATAGAGAAACTTAGTTCATTTTAGGCAAGACAAACACACGTAAGCTCCATGACTAGAAGTTTATTAGTGAACTGTTTCAAAGCTATATAGCACTAGCTCTTAGTTCATTCACACTCATCTCTCGACGCACATGGCTATTCCCATTCCTCCTCCTATACAGAGAGCAGCAACACCCCGTTTTCCACCTGTTCGTTCCAGAGCATGTAGAAGAGTAACAAGGATGCGACAACCAGAGGCGCCAAGAGGGTGGCCGAGAGCAATAGCTCCACCTTGGACATTAATCTAAAAAAAAAGAAAAAGCCAGTACAGGAAGGTCAAGTTAGGAAATTATTTAACCAGCTTCACTGGATATAGTCCTGGACTCTTAGCCTGAAACTGTTACCACCCTTTAAAAAAGTTGAACGTGGATGCAACAGCTGTTACAATTGGTGCTTCTTCTGAAATGGGCCCATCTTTACTCTCAGAGGACAATTAAGGTGATAGATTAATTTAGAAAGGGGAGAATAATAACTGTGCTTTTTGCCATCTCTGGAAGAATACAGTGGCAAATACACTTCCAGCAGCAAGTTCAAATTCTGAAGTTAATTACAAGTATGCTCAAATCCACTCCAATAAAACTGTAGCCTGTTCAGCTAGGAAATACTGTGCCTGCTAGCAAAGCAAGGCTCCAGCAGAGCAGCAGAACCAAATGCCTAGTGTGGTTCCCATCCTTACTGCATATGGCAAAGTGCTTGCAAGAGGACTGTTCTCGCCTCTTGCTGGAATACAACCCAGGTGCACAGAACAGAATTTGAATTGCAGGAGGAGGCAAACCTATGGCCTTAAGTATATTCATTACCTTTTCTAGATTTACTTTCAGTTCTTTCGCTATTGCAAGAGACAGTGATGCAAAGGCTTCATTAATTTCAAACAGGTCAACTTGTTCCAGAGTCCAGCCAGCTTTGTCAATCTGAGAAAACAAAATAAACAGAGGCCTTATTATCTTTTAGGTTTTCCTCAGCACTGGAGGAAGCTTTCCATAAGACTTAAATTGGGTGATTTGAAGCCATTTCTAGAAGCCATTTCCTGTCTGAAGGAAACTAATTTTTATAGCCAGGGTTAATGACAGAATTCTTGAAAACAACAGACAAAATCTCAGTGTCAGCAAAAGTCAGTACAATGTGCTGTAACGTGCTCGATGCTCTTGAAAAGTCTTGACCAATTTTATACACCTAGTGGTGGTGGTGCAACTGTGGGACTCAAACTATGCAGTGCCCTAATAGAACAAGCGCTATATTCAAAAATAGGTTTTAACAGATTAAAAGCAAGTTTTTCAGGACATAAATCTGATTCCATTCAGATTCTCTGCTTAATACAGATTTTTACACAGGAAATAGTGAAATTACCATTAGTGATGGTTGCCAAGTGTAATTCATCCAGTCTCTCCTGCCTTTAAGTTAAAAGTTGGCACTTGAAGCTTTTCACAGGTGGCTATTTTGGAAGATGGTTTCACTCATGATTGCACTTGAGAAACTCCTGTGGTGCAACTGTCTACTTAGGTACAGGCTTATGCATGTTTCAGGTATTTATATTTTTACTTCCATTCACTTTGTTCCTAACAGCAATGCTTTATCAGCAGAACCATCTGCAGCAGTGATGTTTCACAACCAGCAACCCAGGCTGGTGCATCTCCAGGACTACAGTCGAGAAGGGCCTCTTTCTACTAGATATTACCAAGACAGCAGGGAAACCATTCACCTTCTGAGGGAAGTCTCATCTTTAAGATTTACTATGTTGTTGCAATACTAAAATGCAAGGCCTAGTCATTCTCTCACTATAAAGTGGTACCGTGAATGAAGAGAAACATAATACATGATGGATGTGAAGTGTTTGGTAACACACATTACAAAGTTTACATTAAGAAGTAGCATGCCCCTTTTCAGAGTACCTATAAATTATAGGTACTGTTAAATACAGCTTGTCTGTTCTACAATTTAAACTAAAAGTGTGTATTATGTGTACATTTATAGCATCCTTGATTTAAAAGAACAGTGTGAGATCTAGTAAGAAAAAGCTTCAGCATTGCAGTTCTGATTTTCCTATTAAAAGCCACCGAGCTTGGGACACTTCAAGTTAAGCTTCTATGTTGTCAGGACATTTCAGAGATTAACAAAATAAGGCCTTTACACAGTATACATAAAGCTAAGAAGGAATACTAAGGCAATTCTATTATCAGCTGTACAGGAGTTTTAACAAATAAGCAGGTGGGGTTGTCATGGGCTATGTCTGTATTAGCAAGCAGCAGTTTCCCAATACAGTTGCACTCACTGGCCCTTCTCTCTGTGTTGTGCAAATATAACCAGGCAGCAATTTAAAAATTAACCTGGCCAGACAGCATCAGAACCATATCATGGCAAGAACAAATCATCTCTAAATTAGGTTTAGTATACACATCCATAAAATTTATCTTTAGCCTTCTACATCGTCCAGATGACCTTTCACAATCCCAGCTAGTTTATGCTCTGAACTCCATTCAATACACCTCTACATTATTTTTTTTTCCCAACAAATAAGCACTAGCCCAGTAGTGCTAGAAGTCTTAATCTTAAATACTCTCTGCTATTTAAAGTCTTGTTTTCACGTAAGTTTTTTTTCCTACTCCATTTTCCAGAGAATATAGAAAAAACAAGACACAGCCAGAATATGTAAAGTGATTACAAGCAAGAGTTTTAAAATACTAGATAGATAGATAGATAGATAATTACTTACAGCTTTCTTTATTGCTGAAATGGGCCCTACTCCCATTATAGATGGATCTATACCTGTCTGAGCCCAAGACACAATCCGAGCCAAAGGCATAAGACCTCTCCTAGCAGCTTCTGACTTCTTCATTAGAATTACAGCTGCAGCTCCATCATTCATACCTGTGGAAAGACAACCAACTTGTATGTATTTGCTGAGTTTTACAGCTTTTACTGTAACACCTTTTCCTATTTGCATATTCACAATCTAGACAAAACAAAAACTGCAAACCTACTGGTTTAGGTCAGTATTGTTCAGATCAGCCAAGTCTGACCTCAGACACAAACACTTAAAATGGGCAACTTATCTATACTGCTGTAAATGTGACACCATTGTGATTTCTATTTGGAAGGCAGCAGGTATAAGAGTTGAGGCACAATCCGAAAAAGGAGCGCATCAGATTTATTAGGCAGACTTTGGAAGAGGTAGCATAAGGAACCAAGGAAGAAGTTTCAAAGCTTAGTCCCGCAGGAGTAACATTTTCAAACATGAATTGTGAAGTTTTACCCTGTCCAGACCTGCAGTATTAGAAACCACTAGACAGGTAGTTTTAAAAGAGAGGATGTAGTTTACAGTTGTTCCAGCCTATCAAATATTGCTGTTATTGTCCAAACACTTGCACTGCTTTATAGAAAGCAAGCAAACAAAAGAGAACTCCTCTGTAAAGACATCCTCCATCGCAGTTATATTTGAGTTCTACCTATATTGTCAAACACATTGCCATATCCTGCAAGATAACATTCAGCAGTGACCACACGGCAGCCTAACCCCTCGCAGAGCCACAAGCAGCTACTGCTCTTTTCCATTTCAGTTCCAGCCAGATTGACCAACCTGAAGCATTAGCTGCTGTTACTGTCCCAGTTCCATCTGTCAGGAAACAGGGCTTTAGCTTGCCCATCATTTCCAAGTTGCTCCCATGTCGAGGGTGTTCATCTATTTTAACTTCTATAGGACCTGCAAAATAAGGTGTTACAGGCAGCTCAGCGCAGTTTAACAGATTGCTCTTGCCCTCCAGCTGCTTCTAGCAGGACATAGCTAGAAAACAGCTGGGTTTTCTGAGACAAACACTATCAACTAAAATACTGTCTAGTTGTGAAAAAGCAGATCTTGCTGTTCCTAAGCCAAGAGCTTCTCTTCCAAGCAGAAGGCTGTCTTCCACATGATACTTGTAGGAATCTCATTGGAAAATATTATCATCTAAACTGGTATCAGGAAAGCCCTTCATTAGTTTGTAACCAGCCTAATGCCAGAACTTTTCCCATAGGGTCTATTCAATGCAAATGTTGAACAACTGATTCTTGATTTCTGTTTGGAAAATTTAGGTTTTCCACCCACCTCACAAGGAGCTGGCAGAATTCACCTGCTCTAGAAACAGACCTTTGGCTCAAGCTCCATAAAAGGTCTGTTTATACCTTTGACAGACCTAAAGAGAAGCAGACCTAATATATGTAACCTGACCTGGTTAATTAACTCGTAACCCTAATTATTATCACTGTGTATTCTACTAGGTGGGCAAGGTTTGCCAGAGAAACAGGACTGTTTTAAGTTTGGTGCAGAGTCTAATAAAATGAAAAATACTGATTTTGGCACCATATCCGAGCCTACGTTAGATCAGCGGTTTGCCTGGGTAGTAATTACATCTCCAATAAGACATAGGAGTAGCATTTGCAGAGAATACCTACAGTGAGATATTCCACATTTGCATTGCTTCTCTCTTATTTAAAAAAATAACCACTGAAATTTGAAAAAGAGAGCAACAGCCTAATTGCTTACAGAACAGTTTACAGAAAAGGCTGTGTAAGTGGGAAACCATCCAATGATTATAGCAGACATAGTAGAAAACAAAGTATTTCTTTAAAATCAGCTCTCACTATCCATTCACACCTACCTTTTTTAGAAGGGACAAGAACAGGAACAATTTCTTTTGTAAAATAGCCAGCTTTCTGTGCTGCCTCTGCCCTGTTTTGCGACTGCAGAGCAAGTTGGTCTTGTTCCCCTCTGCTGACTTGCCACTGGTTGGCCACATTTTCAGCTAAAATAGGAACAAAATTCAAATTGCCATCAGAAAATGCTAAAATTTTAAGT